CCATCGACTGCGCGGTCACAAACTTGTCGCACCGGCTGCAGAGCAGGACAAATGAGGTGCAGCAGTTAAATGCCCAACTAGCTCTGCTCCAACGCATGTATAAGGATGCGCGAGCAGAGATAAGTGTGTTAAAGGCAGAAAACAAGGAGCTGAACGGAAGGCCACCGTGATGTTCCGATTTGGAGGTCCACCATATGCTGCAGTGGAGGAGCAGGGAGGAGTGATCATGCCAGCTGGAGTGGAAGGAACACGGGCAGCACCGTCAAGGGCCGCCCAGGACGGAGGCAAGAAAGAGACTGGCGCAGAGTAGATAAGAAAAAATCCCGCCTGTGGATGTGTTTTTTTTTTTTTTTTGTTTTTGTGTAAATTGTGATCGGGGTTGATCCCTGAGATGAATAAAATGAGTTTGGTGTGCAGTGCTTCTTCTTCCTTTTTTTTTTTTTTTTTGTTTTTTTTTTTTTTGAAAAGAAAAGAAAATAATGGAAAAATAAAAAGGAAATGTGAGATTCAAAGTTGTGTGGTCGGGTCCTACCACTAATGGAAAAGTAAGATGATGGGTGTGCAAACCAGGTGATGTTTCGGTGTCTTTTCAAAAGATGGAGTAAAATAAATATAAAATAAAAAAAGAAAAGAGGAAAGTGTAGTGGGGAACAGGAGTGTAATGAAAAAGAAAAAATATAGGTTGGAGAATCTGAGCATCGTGGGAAACAGGAGTGTGGGGAAAGAATAAAAAAGAAAAAGTATAAGTTGGAGAGTGGGTCACATGGGAGAGAGAAAAACAACACACATATGCATGTGCTCACTCTTACCAAGTCTTCCTTCACAGAGAGGTCTTTTGAGTCCAGAATAGAGTGGCCAAACAAACAGGGCACTATACAGTGGCTCATCAAACCATGAGCTTTCTCATTGTTGTAGCCACACGTGTGTTTGCTCCACTTTGCTTTTTTTTTTTTTTTAACTTTTATTTTTATGCCACAACGGATATGCTTCTGCGATCTCGGTTTAAGCAATCGAACCCCTCGACTCTCACAGTGGCCTGTTTGTGACCAGATTTCACCCAAACGCATGATCCTCCTTTGCGTGCGGACGAGGATGGAGATTTTGGCAGAATGGGTGCCTGCGGTAACGGACTAAACATGTTGTTGCCGAATTGCAAGTCTTGGATTATAGGGTTTGAAGCCCTGCTGGGTGGAGATCCACAAAAAAATGGTGGCGATGAGGCCACTTGATTATTGAATTTTTCGGCACTGTAACTTCCCTTGGTTAGAATGATGTCAAGAAGTTCCATCCCTGCTTTGGACTCGTAAATCTCAGTTTGATGATTGAGATGCCATCTCGAAGGTCTGATTTGGTCGTTTATGGAGGGAGACGAGATCGCCGATGATGTGGAGGACGGTGTAGCTGGTGGCGGAAGGAGGAGCATCGGTGTAGCTGGAGGATCTCGAGCTGTACGAGGCCGAGGGAGGGAGGCAGACTGGGAGAGAGCTTCGGCAGACTGAAACAAGCTTGCTAAATTAATCGAACAGACTGAAACCCATGTCATCATCAGACTCCTCCGCTGGTTCTTCCTTCTCTTCCACAGCAGCAGCAGGAGCAGAACCAGAATCAGCAGCAGCTGCAACAGGAGCCACAGCAACAGCAAACTTGGTCGGATCCTCGAGGTACTCCTTAACTTTGTCTGCCTGGGGGAAAGAATATTCAGTTGCAACTGCAACAGCCAAAACATTTTTGTAGGCATTGAGTGTGTATCAGTGTGTATGTCTTGAGTGATGGCAACAGTGAGGTGCCGAGAGGGAGAGGGAGGTTTGAATTGGTTGAAATCCGGCGGGCGGTCAAGGCAAGGTTGCCGCCCGCCGGAAGGCGAAGAACACCAAGATCTTTAACCTATAGCTCTGATACCATGTAAAAATTGATGTATTATTGATTATTGAATGTTGTTATCAATTACAAATGGTGAGGAACTCCTTGTATAGGAGATGTAGTGGAGTAGGTGGTAGTAGGTGGTAGTGGTAGGTGTAGGTGGTAGTGTGTAGTAGGTGGTAGTAGGTGGTGGTAGGTGTAGTAGGTGGAGTAGGTGATGGTAGATTTTAACATGTTTTTCCTTCGCTTCTAATGTGCACACAATTTTTTTTTTTAAAAAAAACAATCACTGGTTGTTTGGTTGCTGTGAAATTGGGGAAAAAAAAACCTTTGTTTTTTTCCCCTGCTCTTAGCCTTGTGACTGTTGTGAAAAAAGGAATAACTTGCTGCTCAAAATTTATACTTGCACATATTTTGTACATTCATATATTTTGATACAAAGTGTAGTGTAGATGTTAATTAGTTTGTCAGAAAAACTTTCTAAAAGCATAGCTCAAGCTCACTGAATGCATTTAGTGTCTCTGAGTGTACAGGCAAAGTTGGTATTTTGGTTATTAGTTTGTACTAGTCAACAGGAAAAAGGAACAAAAAGAAAGCTTATGGTAATATGATCACCATAAACATAAATTTTAGGGAGAGGGGAAAACCTAAACCGACTTGGGATTTGGTAGTAAAAAAAATAGGAATTTATTTAATTTAGCTGAATGTATAAAGTTGACAAAGCGGAATGGCAAAAAAGAATTCATGTAGTTGACCCCATCTGATCGGGACGCAGGGCTTAGTTTGGTATGCAAGTTGCAACTTCATCCTTAAGTGAAAAGCCTCTTAGTATCATATATTTTCTTGCATTTGTAAACTAGTTATGTTTTGCTTGGTATCTTGGGTACCTGACATGTTCCAGATCTTATCCAACTTTCCTTCTCTTGATTTAACTGGAAAAAAAAAAAAAGACTAGAAGAAGAAGCGAACTACTTGTTTATGCAACCTATATGAGTATTCAAGTCTATTCTTTACCAATTTATGTCATACATAAATTTTCTTGTTATTCTTTCTCATACTTTTTATGATTAAAAAAAAAAAAAAAATCAAACTTAGCCTTTCATCTACATATTTTGATAAGTAAATTTTTTAATACGAAAGTATTTTTTAGGGTCGATTATCACAACAGCAGGAGAGATTGATGCAGATGTGGCCCATAGGATTAAGGCGGGATGGTGTAAGTGGAGAAGTGCGTCTGGGGTATTGTGCGATAAACGAATATCCACTAGACTAAAAGGTAAGTTTTATAGAACGGCTATTAGACCAGCTATGTTGTATGGGACGGAGTGTTGGGCAACCAAGAAACAACATGTAGATAAGATGAGTGTGGCTGAGATGAGGATGCTAAGGTGGATGTGTGGTAAGACTAGACAAGACAGGATTAGGAATGAGTGTATTCGGGAATGGGTAGGAGTAGCACCGATAGAAGATAAGTTGAGAGAGAATCATTTGAGATGGTTTGGTCATATTCAACGGAGATTAACGTTGACTAGTGTTTTAAATAGAGATATGAATCTACTTAATTTGACTAATGAAATGGCCTTTGATAGGGCCGCGTGGAGAAGAAGAATTCATGTAGCCGACCCCATTTGATGGGACTTAAGGCTTGGTTTGGTTTGGTTTGGTTTGGTTTTACCTCTCTTTGCAAGTATTTCAAAATATTCAGTTTTGTGCCAACATCTTGACTCCATGCAGATAAGTGAATTGTGTAAACTTATTCTGGAGATGAGGACAGTTCTTTATGGCGATGGTCAATCAGAGCCGGTAACTGAAACTTGTGCACAGTTGACAGAGGAGTTCTTTAAAGGCGATACGTTGCGCCTCTTAATTATTTGTCTTCCTAAACTAGATTCTGGGGTAAGGCTTTGGAGACTATTTTCTTGAAATTCATATATTCCTTGTTTCAGGTTGTTACTGTTAGTTGCTTTATGGCTTTGGAGCTAAAATTCTTTGTACGTTATATATTTTCTCCATTTTGCAAATCATGATACAATGCATAATCCGCAGGCCCATCAAGATGCCACTCATGTGGTTGCAAATTTGCAAAGACAATGGGTTAATTCACGGTTGATTGCATCTGAATACATGGAGCAGAATGTAGACCTTGTGGATAGTTTGGTACTAGGGTAAGATCTAGGTTTTACAGGTTCAGAAATATTGTGGCTAATTAAATTGTGAATATTATGATGCATGTATATTTGATACCAATGTTCTTGATGGCAGCTGTTCTTTTTGTTTGATAATTATGGGTTGAGATTTCTTCACTTATTCATCTCATCTTGATGGCAGCTGTTGTTTTGCTTTTGTTTGAAAATTACATATTGAGATTTCTTCAGTTTTTTTATATTTTGATCTTCTTTTACTTGGTTTTTCTGTTGTCTACATTGTTTTTCTATCTTTACAAATCCTAAAGCAACAAACATTCCTAAACTTGAAAGTGATTGTACATTGCAGCTAAATGGTGATTGCTGTATTCTAATTTTTCATGTGCTGTCCTGATCATTTATGCTCCATTGCATATTTATTTGCATTATAAGGCCTAATCTGATCTTTAGTTAAAGTCTTATGACTATGACAAATGATAGTGTTCGTCACGGCCTTATGCGCCAAGTGGTATTTGGTTGGTCTCTTGAACTTCGTGCTTGGGGATCAAGTCCGCTTATGTCATATTGACCCAAAAAGTGTGCATGTATAAAAGGTAGTGATTGTTAGAAAGAAGCACCATTGCTAATGGAACTGCTTTATTTTTCAAGAGACTGCTACGAATCAATTCACAAATCAGAGAAAATTAAAAGATTATCTAATTGGCTACAATGTATTAACTTACGATTAGTACTTTGAAGGCTTTCTGTAATTTTAACCTTTTTTTGCTTGGAAGGTTTGAGCCTACTTCTATGTTGGAGATGTCGACCCTAATTTATAGGTTTGTGATTGATTACTAACCATCTGACATCACTGTCTTTCCCATGTTGTCTCAGTGAGGGCTGTTACCATTTCTGGTGATCTTTCTTATGAAAGTTTACATTTTTGTTGGTTTTTTTGTGGGTCAATAGGATATTTTTTGTGTTCCTTATTTGGTTTTTATGTTTAAGTTTCTAATGTTAACCTACAATTTTAAATGGTTAGTTATGAAGACTCTGACATTGCACTATCTTATGGTGCACTTTTGAGAGACTGCATTTGTCATCAAGTTGCAGCAAGGTGAGCAATATTAAAATGTTTTAGTGGCCCTGTTGACTTGTCAAAATTCGTTGTTAGAGAGAGAGAACTCTATTTGAAATAAGTCTTGTTTGATAACTGGTTAGGGTTTATTATTTTCATAGTAGCAGAAACCTAGCATTACAATGAACAATTTCAGCATGCTTGTTTGTTACTTCCACTCCATGTGTGGGGAACAGTTTTTGTGGCCTTTTGCCCTGTCAAATAGTGCTAAGGCTTATTCATGCCTCACACTTGTGACATAACAATACTACTTTATCACGTAGCACTTTCTGAGATTATTATTCATCTGTTTTAGAAATCAGTATTTTTCAAAGTTCTTGTGCTTGTTATGTCAGCTTCATCTGCAGTTCATGTACAAATTGAAAAGTGAAGCAAAAATCACATCCTGAGACACAAAAATTGAAATATGAATGCACATGCTAAGTGGGTAAGGATATTCTTCAAAAGAATTGTGTGGTAGTAATTAACTTACTCTTAGAAGAAATAAAGGGACCATCTGTTGAGTGAGAACACAACGAATTTCACTAATGTGAATTTTTATTAAGTACAAAACACTTGTACAAGGAAGATAGTACACTCAAGTACATACTAGAAGAACACTTAAAATTTTAGGACACCTCATGTACACTAAACATTTTGGTGCACTCAAACTCACTTATAGCTTGTTTCCTTGACTACTTGATGCTTAGTACAAGAACTCATCCCATATTTATACTACTTCAATAATGTGAAGAAGATTCCAAGAGTAAACCTTGGCCACAAATTGAGTCAGGTAAACTTAGTGGTTCATAAATGGTGAAACTTTAGCTAAAATGAGTGGTTGGTAAATGGTGAAATTTGGGTAGGTAAAATGAGTGGTTGGTAAATGATGACTGTTGGGTAGGTGAAAAGTGTGGTGAAAGTTTTAGTTGCAGAACATTCAAGTGTAACTGCAATCTTATAAAATTATCTGAAGGGGGAGAGGGAAATATCTGAAGAAGATTCTAGAAAAGGTAAAGAGAAGTCAGTGGTGATTCTTAACACCATCATCCTGGTTTCCGTAAAATAAACAAGATTAACGTCATATATGTTTTAACTCTTGATGTGAAAATAACAACCACCAACCTCGGCCTGTTTCTGCAGATGCTTCAAAGATGTCCATCATGTGATGTGGTCATCATATTGTTATTCTTGTGCTAACTGCTATGCTATTTATGCTACAACAATTGTTACATAATTTGGCTTACAATTGTGTCCTTGAATCTCAAGTCTTTACTTACAAAACGAAGTACATAGAGCATGGGATTTTAGTTCTCGATCTCTGACATCTTGATGTCTTAATCTGAACTGTAGAACGTTAAATAGACTGTTGCATTTTTCTATAGTGACCAACGTGGCAGTTAAGCAAAAGTTCCTTGTTAATATTCATTCATTTGCTTATGCATGTTTGTGTTCATTTCACAAGCTAGTGCCTAGTCAAAGAAAATAACAATTTAACTAGTTCAAAAAACCTGTCTTTGGTTTGCCCTTTTTCATCAAAAATATTCTTTGTTGAGACATGCAAATTGTGTAATTTAGATTTGATTTCAAATGGTTGTTTTCACAGGTACACCTTAGAGTCAGAGCATATGAAGAAGTTTTTTGACTATATACAAAGTCCAAATTTTGATATAGCTTCAGATGCTGTGGCGACTTTTAAAGTTGAGTATGGTCAAGATAATCTATTTTTATGCTTGACAAGTTCTGATGATTAAATTCTTAGCATAGTTGTATGGTGTTTTCTATTCCTTTTTTGCAGTTTGCATGAATATAAAACCAGCAATTTGACTGGTGTTTTTGTTGTTTTGGCATTTTTCTATCGTCCATTGTTAATGCATCACTAAATTCAAACTTATTTGAATTTTCTTTTAGCTATATGTAAAAGAAGTCTTTTAGCTATATATGATTCTGAGTCAATTTATCTTAAATCCAAATTTTATTTTGAATTGTCTTTTTAGCTATATATAAAAAGTCTTTTAGATATATATGCTTCTGAGTCCATTTATCTTAAATCATCCTGTGACATAGATAAGGCTGTGGAATCAACAAACCAACTGTAATGCCACCTTCTCAGATATCTATCTGGAAGTTGTGGATTTAATCTGGAGAACAGAGCTATTGCGCTTTGCCATAGTTATAGTAGTTGTCATATGGAAAGATTGTGCTGCATCAAAAATAGTACTGGCCATAAATGATTTGAAACTTATAGTTACTAAATAATCATTGAAATTGTTAGGTTCATACAAAATCCTGGTCACAGCATAAAGATTGCGTGTTTTCTTTTCTTTGAATTCTCCCTTCTAATGAATTATGATTTGAGAATAGAGTTGTATTTTGAGTTTGTGAGTTTTGGAATTATGATTTGAGTGTAAAAAATTTGTTTGGTTGTGAGTTTTGAATTAAGTTTGAAATTTTTGATGTGACATATAATATTTGATTCAAAAACTTACAACTCATAACTAAACATACAACTGAAAATTCTATTCAAAGCTCATAATTTTTTTTTAAAAAGTTCCGAAATTTTTTTTATTTAAAATATAAAAATAATAGGTGCCAAAATAATAAAAAAAAAAATAGAACACTGTTCCGGTCAACCGGCCGGACGACTGGACGTCCAGGAGGATGACTGGGTAGATGTGTTTGCAAAAGTGGGTGTCAAATTAATTTTGAAAACTATAACCAAACACCTCTTCAAACCAAGCGGTGGAATAAACTTTGGAAAGCTCTACCAAATAGAGCCTTAATGTTATGGAATGGTCCACCGTGCCTTGCATTCATGTAGCATGATTATGCATCCTTAAAGTTCTCACAAGTAGATTTCCTCTAGGTTTTTTGTTTATGAATTAAAATAATTTTTGTCCTTATTTAAAAAAAATAGCATGCAAATAGATGTGTCATATGTATCTGGCTGTAAAACTAAATAATAATTTTTGTTTTGTGGAAGATTTTACTCTTTTAAGGCTCTGGGGTTATGGTAGAAAATGATATTGAATACCTTCTCGTGTCACAACAATGCTTACATTTTTGACATATTACAGACAACTCAAATAATTTTCCACTTTTGATTTGTAAATGTAGTCCAATATTGATCTGTGGAGATCATTTAATGTAGAATTTTTTTTTTATTTCCTTGCAACTTTCCGTTAGTTTTAGTGAGTTAGAAAATGCTTTAAATCATGGTTTGTCATTTCCGATGGAACGAGCTTTTCTCTCGATTGAATATATTTCTGAATTAGGAAAGAAATCCATTGATCATTTCTGGACAAATTTGAAGGACTTTTTGTTTCTGTGATAATTGTATTATGTTTCAGTCCTGTGCTAATGCTTGTCACCCTGCTGATGTTACTATCACATGTATATCAGGAGCTTTTGACAAGGCATAAATCAACTGTTGCTGACTTTCTTTCCAGAAATTATGAGTGGGTATGTGTTAGGTTTACTTCAATTATCTGTAAGTGTTAGGTTTACAGTCTAGAGGTGTTCAGCATCAATGAGTGTGTACTGTTGGTCAAAAGCATGTTCTTGATTAGATGTTCAACTTGCATACAATTGACACACTATGATATTACGTACTTCCAAATTTCTTCATATAAATTTCAGATCTTTCAATGCCTGAAACATGTTCCAACTATAACTTGGTTATAGTTTTTTCAAGAATACAACTCAAAGTTGCTGGGATCTCCTAATTACATCACCAGACGGCATGCTGTCAAGGTACAATTTTGTTGCTCTAGATTTTTAATATAGGTTCTATGGCCTTGAACTTCTTCTTCTTCTTCTTTGTTGTTGTTGTTGTTGTCGTCGTCGTCGTTGTTGTTGTCATCTTCATTGTGTTGTTCTCTTTATTCTTTAAGAAGTATGGACACTGATGTGGATACGGACCCGGGATATTATGACTTAAAAAAAAAATGGAGACACGGACATGGAGGGGACATGGCAATAATTTTCTTTTTAATATTTTTATTTGCTATGTAGATTAATATTATATGCACAAATAATCAAAGTTAACAAAAACTAACACTAATTCAATATTTGAAATGTTAAAAACCTCAATCTTAAGTAAACTCTTCATTTATGTCTTTTTTTTGGATTTCTATTCATTATTTAAATCTAAGCAAAACTTAGTAAATATTCAACATCCAATATCCGTCAAAAGTACTAAAAAAGAGTGGGTTAAAAATTAGTCGGCATGTCCCCAAAATAAATTAATTAAATAAAGGGACACACCACATGGCATGTCCAGTATGTGTCCCCGTGTCCGACATTGCTACGACACTTGTTTTAAAGTGTTGGTGCTTCGTAGTTCTCTATCATTGTAATGTGTTATTTTTCTTGTCCTCTCCGATCAAAATTATCCATTTGTTCTCCGTTGTTGCTTTGTATAGTAATAATGCATTTTTTTTAAAAATATTTTTTTGGAGGGATCTTTTAGCATGTAATTTGGTATTACCAGACTCAAAAATCTTTTGAGATTTTATATATTTTTTTTTCTGGAGAATTTAATAATAACTCCTTTGCTGAGAGTCAGCCATATGTTGCAGCTCCTAGGAGATATGTTACTTGACCGTTCAAATGCTTTAGTGATGGTGCGTTATGTGAGATCATTGGACAACATGAGGATTCTGATGAATCTACTCAGGGTACTCTCTCTGTATATATACATATAAGTACATTCACAATTACTTATATACCTTACATATCTTACAATGCATTTATTTTACTTCTCTTTTTTCAGGACTCAAACAAGACAATCCAGTTAAATGCTTTTCAGGTGTTCCAGGTCTTTACAGAATTCGACTTAGTGTTACACGACATAGAAAAACAGCTTACTGTTCCTTTTCACAATTGATTCATTTGTCTGAATTTATGTTTTTTTCTTTTTTCTTCCATTTTATAGCTATTTGTCGCTAATCAAAATAAGCCTGCTGAGATAGTCAGCATACTCATCACAAATAGAGGCAAGCTCCTCCGGTTCTTTGGTGACTTCAAGTTTGATAAAGGTACGCGCTCTCTGTTAATGAAATTTGTTAGAATATCCTTAGCACTGTGATGTAGACTGTGAGTAAAGATGTGCTTCATCTCACAGTGGATGAAGTATTTGAAGCAGACAAAGCTCAAGTTGTCAAAGAAATTGCGATGCTTGAGCCCACAAACAATCCGTGCGCAGATTTAGACAAATGTGACATTCCTTGTTAACAGGCATGTAAACTAATTTTATTTATTTTTGGTGTTAAAATTCAATGTATAAAGAGAAAATAGAAAATTGTATTACTGATTGATTGTATTGATTATAAGATTTATTAATTACAATTCCTATACAATCTATATATAGAAGAAAATGTGGTAGTAGGTGTAGTGGAGGTGATAGTGGGTTAGGTGAAGTGGAGTGTGTGGTGAAGTGGAGGTAGGTGAAGTGGAGTGTGTAGTGGAGTAGGTGAAGATAAAGATGGGAAATTCTAACAAGAATGTTGTACATTGTTACAGGTGATTGTTCTTGTATTGCACCTTGTGTTAGAAAATTGACATGATCTAGCTAGCTTAGAAGTCTCAAATAGAACTTTCAGTAAAGAGAACTTTTGGAAATTTTTAAAGGGCCATGTTGGATGGCAAGGATCTCAATTATTGAGGGACTATTAGGTTTCTTATCTAGGCTTTAGGCAACAGAGGGTCTTAAGCTAGTTCTTGGAGGTGTTTGGTGTGCCATCATTTCTAAGATTTGACCTAATCTATTGGAGAGAGATTTAGGGGATGAAGTGTAGATGGTGGTCTTGGCATGAAGATTGAGAAAGTGTTGAACCCATTGAGTTTTTTATGGCTATTCATCAGGGGTGATGGATGTGGTAAGGATCTCTGATGTAGCCTGGACTTTTTGAATAGCAAAGTGAAAGGATTATAATGATGTCTACGCTATTGTGATTTTTCATTGTGAATATGGAGAGTTTTGGAAATTTGACATATTTTTAGGTGAGGAAAGTGGAAAATCTTCTTTTGATCCCTATTGTTGGGGTGCTGATGACACCGAGACAACTTCTCATCAATAGCTTACCATGAAAAAGTTTTGCTTATCCCTTGTGGATATGCCTGGCCTCTAGAACTTTAGGATTGGACAATCATTGCAATTGAGCTCGTTTAGATGATCTTAAGGTGGACCAAAGAATGGTTGTTTGAGCTCAAGGAGTTCTTTATCTGTTTAGTTAGTTGGGTGGGTTCACTGTGTAGAGGTTTCTTGTTGTTGATTTCTTTGTTATGTATTTATACTATGTGGAGTTCATCAGCCATCTTTGCTCTCATTCCTTGTTCTTCCCATGTGGACTTGCTTGCCTCCTTCTTGAGGCGATCTCTCATATAGTTGGTGTGTTTCAGATCTTAGCCTCAGGGGCTTTATGATCTTGATGTAGGAAGCTCAATCTGTTTACCCTTGTTTGATATTGGAAGCCGTGGTGATGGAGGTACACCTAGAGTTTTTGAGGTTGAGCCTTTTTTTGTTTCATTTGATGTGCCAAGAATCGAATGTTTTCTAGGGTTGGTCCTTGTTGCTGCCTGTGCTCTAAAGGATTTCTTATGCTTGCTTGTGCAACAAATGGGAGGGCATTGTTCTCTCTTAGAGATTTCTCTTTTCTTGGATTTAATATGATACCTATTTTAACACTTGGGGTATCCCTTCTGCAATTTGCTTTAATGAATTTCAAGTCATCATGATGTGGAACGAGGTGGAATTGGATTAAGGAATATTACATATTATGGATTTAATAATTAATTTTGGCACTATATTATATTTCTGAAGTAATTGAGTTTTATTTTTGTTAATTTTAGTAAGGATTTTTTTTGGATGCCTATAAATAGGTCTTTATGCAATACGTTTTGGACAGACTATGAGATTGATTTGAGCTTGGATATCGAGAATATTATGAGTTTTGAGATTTAGGGTTTCTTTTATTTTCTTGTAATCGGTCTTTCTCTTTTATTTTACTTTATTTTCTTTGGATACTCCATTTTTGCTGGCCATCTGGCATCCACATCATCCTTTAAATACAAGTAAAGCGAAAAAAACGCCTCCGAACTTTTACATTTGTCGGAGAACCTGGAAATTTGTTCTTTCTGGTCTCTTGCCAATCAAGAGGTCAATGATTCAAGAAGAGCCTCTCCCTAATTGGCTATTGCTGTTGGGGGGGGGGGGGGGGGGGGGGGGGGGGGCGTTCCAACTTGGTATTAGAGCTACTGGGCATGAATACTTTAGGATCATAGGATGTGATTTTTACCACAGTGGGTTATCTTGCTAGATGATATTAAAAATAGACCTAGTATGCTCTGTGGTAACATGCTTATGTGACTAAATAAGTATGGGATTTAATTTCTAAGATATCAATTGGGTGTAAGAGTAAGTCCTGTTAGAAGAGCACTTGATCACTATTATTTCTAACTAGAACTTTGGCAATGTCGCAAGACGATCACTATCTAGAAAGAACGTTCGTTTGTGTTTATGTAATTAGGTGCTTATGTGGAGTGAATTAATTATTGTTCGTTGTATTAGGACTTAAGTGAATTAGCTTCGACACAATTCTAAATGTGCTACTCTATTGTGTTACCTTTATTAGGATGTCAGGACATAGACGTGGTGGTGGTAGGCTTGGTAGGCCTAGATGGCAGCAGGTGCCATTACTGAATGATATTCTGGTACAAAAGAAAGGAGTTGGTCAGGCCAACGTGGCTGAGCCAGTAGGTCAGCAAGCCATGGGTTCTTTGGCCCATGAAATGGCTAGAGCTTTAAGGGAATCCATGGACATTCTCAGGGCTAAGAATCAAGTCCAGGCCTATGTTGCTGAGACAGGGCCATCTTTTCTAAAGAGGGAGTTTTTTCGATCGAATCCAGGTGAGTTTTTGGGGAATCTGAAAAAGCTACTAAAAGTAGATGAGTGGCTTGAGCAAATGTTGAAGACATTCGAGATGTTTGGCATTGAGGGCGACGGTTTGAGGGTGACTTTGGCATCCTTCCAACTAAAGAGAGATGTGGGTCAATGGTGGAAGTATCCGCGAGGGTGCATTGAGGTGGCTTGGGAGGTCTTTGTCAACACCTTCCAGGACAAGTTTTTGCCTTCCAATGCTAGAGAGAAGTTCAGGGATCAATTCTTGAAACTCAAGTAGCTGAACACACTAATAGGGGAGTTTGAGGCTACTTTTACTAGCCTCTCTAGATTTGCACCAGAACCTGTGACGACGGATGCACGTTGTTGTATCAAGTTCAAGAAGCGACTGAGAATCGGGGTTCTTTTCAAGGTTGTTGGGTATATTAACATTCACATTGATAAGAGTGTAAAATTGACTCGCGTCCCATGGGTGGCCCGAGGCGAGCCCGGCGCACCTTTTGAGGATGCGATTTTTTATGGGTCCGACAAGACTCTGTAAACTGTCCCGACATTTGATTCCGGTTAGCTTTTCCAAGGGTCCGACAAGACTCTGTAAAATGTCCCGACATTGATTCCGGTTGGTTTCTACAAGGGTCCAGCAAGACTCCGTAAACTGTCACAACAACTGTCACAACATTGTCTGCTACAACGGTCCGACATGACCCCATAAACTGTCTTCTACATCGGTCCAACACGAGCCAGTGTCTTCTACATCGGTCTGCCATAACCATACAGTCTTCTACAACGGTCTGACACGACCATACAGTGTCTCCTATCCTTTTTTATTTTATGTATTCGTCTATTTTCTTGTTTTGTTAGTCTCTCCAAACTCAAGTTGGTTAGTTCCTATCCCCCTTGAGTTTGCGGGGGGCTGTTAAAATGTACCAAAACCTACCACTACACCTACTCCACCCACTTCACCTACTCCACCTACTACTCCACCTACTACATACCTACCTCCTTTAATCTTCTATATATAGGACTCATTGTAAACATAACATATATCAATCAATAATACATCATTTTTTACATAAAACAAGTTATTACAGCGTGAGATGTGTTAAACGGACAAATGCAAAGTAGTCTAATCGGTATAGGTTTAATTGCTAGTGAATCCTTATCTGAAAGAATATTGTAATTCTCAGAAATCCAAGATACACGTTGTTTTCATTCCTGTGTTACATTGAATGCAATGGATGTAAAACCTACAAAACTGTAAAAATAGATGTATTATTGATTGATATATTACAAGATTGTTGTATTACAATTCCTATACAATCTATAGTAAAGATAAAATGTGGTAGTAGGTGTAGTGGAGGTGATAGTGGGTTAGGTGAAGTGGAGTGTGTGGTGAAGTGGAGGTAGGTGAAGTGGAGTGTGTAGTGGAGTAGGTGAAGGTAAAGATGGGAAATTCTAACAGTTTGATCACTGAAATTTCTTCAGAAATGTGCATAATTACATACTTGGTTAATGGTTTAGTCAAAATAGAAAAGCGTAGTGCATGCCAGTTATTTGAATTATCATTTCTCATTCAAGAGTTGTTTAACAGTAAAATATGTTCACCAGTCTCAACTTCTAGGCCCATAGTAGCTTTTTGGATTGTTGTGTAGATGGTTTTAAGGGTTGTGTCTGGTTGCACATAACCTCACTGAGCTAAAGATTATTCAGTGCGTTTGGTTTGAGTTTTCTAGATGAACTTTTTTGAAAATTGAGTTTTTTGTTTTTCGTATTTTTTTATTTTTAGTGAATATTTTTAAAATTTTAAACATTTTTTTTAGTTTTTTAGATGCACCTTACTTCAATGTATCTAAAAAGTAAAAAATTTGTGAAAAAATATTTTAAAGAATTATTAAATACATAAAAATACAAAAAATGTACTGAATTCTGATATATTTTTTTTTATATATTTTCTTTATTTAGTGATTTTTTAAAAAGTTTTTTTTACAAATTTTTTACTTTTTAGGTATATTTATGTTAAGTATATCTAAAAATTAAAAAAATTACTTAAAATATTAAAAAAATTCATAAAAAACAAAAAAATACGAAAAATAAGAAAGTAGAATTTTCTGAAAAATATTTTCAGAAAAACAAAACCAAACAAGCTGATTGGTATTGCTATATAGATGTGATTCTATAATTGTCAAAGCTGAATTTGTTTTGATGACTTACTCTAAGGCATTGTTTGTCATAATTTAAAAAAATTAAAAAGTCAAAAAATTATTATCTTATTTAAGTTATATCATCTTATTTAAGTCATATCAACTCTCTATTACATCACTTCAAATCTAATCTATACCCAATTTATATTTCATAAAAAATTTAAAAAATATATTTATTTAGATCATTTTAAACTATCCCTAATTACACGTTTTATTTTTTATTTTTTATTTGAACATTTCTGTTTTCCATAATTATATTTCGCCGAGATTTAGCTGAATTTTGATTGTGACGTGTCAATGTTTTCGTTCGGTGAAAACGAAGGGAGTAGGCATTGATTGCACTTCATCGCACCAT